CCTCCTGAGTGCTAGGACTAAAGGCGTGTGCTACCACACCCAGCACATCATATTTTTTTAAGTAATGCTAATAATTTTTCTAAAAAAAAAAAAAACTGTAGGGGCTGGAAAGATGGCTCAGCAGTTAAGAGCACTGACTGCTCTTGCAGAGGACCAGGGTTCAATTCCCAGAACCCATATGGTGGCTATGAACCATCCTTAACTCCAGTTCCAGGGGAATCCAAAGCCCTCTTCTGACCTCTGCGGCACTGCAGGACATAGGTGCACTGACATACATGCAGGCGATACACTCATACACATAAAATAAAAATAATAAAGAAAATATTTTTTAAAAAAGAACTGTTCAAAGATCACTTGTTTTCTTCCTTTTTTCAAAGATCATTCTAATGGGAAAAAACTATTACAATTCAAAATCATGAGATGATGAGTTGCTAAACATAGGGAGGGTAGAAAAAAGGCTAGAAGAAGCTGGGGATGGTGGTACATGTCTATAATTGCAGTTACTCAGAAAACAAAGGCAGTAAGATCACAAGTTCAAGGCCAGTCTGGGCCACTTAGTGAGTGCCTGTTTTAAAGTGAAATAAAAGAGGGCTAGGATGCAGCTCAGTTACAGAGCACTTACCTAGCGCATGTGTGAGGCCCGGGGTTCAATGCCCAGGACCACAAAAAAGCAAGTAGAGGGAGTAATGCTACAGGAAGAAATGGATATTAAAGCAACTTGCTGGAAATGTGGCCCAGTGGTAGACCACTTGCCTAGCATGCCCAAGGCATTAGGTTAGACCATCAGCACCACAAAAAAACAAAGCAACAGGAGATAACATAAACACCATGAAGGATCGACCGGTGGGGTTGTTTTTCCCCTAAATCTATATTCGTCTAGATAGAACAGCAGGAGTTAAGACCGGAAACCATGAAGCCAGTGTACTTGTAGCAAAGGTGGCCACCACTATTCACCAGCTGTACAACCTTGGGCAAATTTATTTAACTTGTCTATGCCTTCATTTTCTTATTTATAAAATGGAAATATGAATCATACCTACCTCATAGCTTGTTATAAAGATTAAATAAAGCAAAATGGGTAAAGCACTATCTACCAGAAATTTGTTCAAATGCTGTATGAATGGTTATTACTAATATGCCTGATTATGGGTTACAGAAAAGAAAAAAACAGGGCTGGAGAGATGGCTCGGCAGTTAAGAGCACTGGCTGCTCTTGCAGAGGACCCAGGTTCAATTTCTAGTACCCACATGGTGGCTAACAACTGTAACTCCAGTTCCAGGGGATCTGAAGCCTTCTTCTGACCTCCTCAGGCACTGCATGACATGGATATACTAACATACATGCAGGCAATACACTCATACACATGAAATAAAAATAAGAAAATATTTTTTTAAAAAAGGAAAAAAACTAAACAACAACTTAAAAACCTTCTACAGACGGCTGTTTCCTGTTTAATGCCTTTACCCCTGGAGTCAGGAAACAGTTTAGATTTCAGCTCTGCCACTTATTTTGCTGCATGACCTGAGACAGTTATATCAACAAACCTTTGGCTTTTCTCCAAAGTAGTATTGTTTCAACAATTCAAGAGTGCACATAGAACACTTAACATTTCTCTGATACATAACAAGTGATTAATAAGTGAGAACAGTTATTCAAAATCTCCTAGTATTATACTGCATCTGGCCTCTTTAATTTAAAAGTCTGGTCTTTTCAGACTCAGACAAGCAAATATATTTTCTCTCATAGGAGAAATCTAGATTTTTAAAAAGTAAGGGGACTATATCGTGGAGGAAGGGGTATGGGGTGGAACTAAGACAAATATTGCATGTTTTCTCTCATATGCAGACTCTATCTATACAAACACACACATACCCTCCTGCTTCTGCCACCCTGGTGCTGGAATTATTATGTGTACACCACCATGTCCAGTATAAAGATTTATTCTTATGACAATATCTAGGTATGATACCTGGTACTTTTTAGCATTCCGTATTGCTGAATTAATAACTGCTGAGGTAGTTGCTGCAATCCTATACTAAAAAGAGCCTTCATGACTTGAGAGACTGACTGCTGAGGATTATGTATTTGAGGTTGTTTTGGACAACACAGCAAGACCCCAGCTTAGAAAAACAAGCAAGCAAGTCAATGTGGTAATGTGTATCTGTAAGCAGGGAGTGGGGGTGGGGTGGGAGGGTTACTTGAAGAGCAGGGGATGAACAGAGGGAAGGGGAAGGAAGGTAATAGGGGCAAGTAAGAGTAGAAAATGAAAAATACATGTATGTCAGAATGAAACCCACTACTCTGTACACTAACTTTAAAGAAATTAGAAAATATCTAGCTGGGCATGATTTGTGTCTGCAATCCAAGCCTTTCTAGCTGGGCAGAGTTTGTGGATATAATCTCAACACTTGTGAAGCTATGGCAGGAAGATTACCAAGAATTCAAGGCCAACCTAGGCTACATAGTAAATTCTAGACCAGTAAGGCTACAGAGTGAGTCCATGTCTCAAAAATAAGAAATTCTATGAAAAAAAATTTATTTTATTTATTTATTTTTTTGGTCTTTTTGAGACAGTGTCTCCCTGTAGCCCCAGCTGTCCTGGAGCTCACTATGTAGACCAGGCTGGCCTGAACTCATAGAGATCCCCCTGCCTCTGCTTCCCGAGTGCTGGGACTGAAGGTGTGCGCCACCACACCTGGCCTGAAAAAAATTTTTAATTAAAAATCTTTATTTGGCAATGGATCAAAGCTTTAAATGAGCATATTCTTGCCTCAGAAATTTTCCACTTCTGAAAATTTATCCTAAGGAAATAATCCTAAGGAAATGTAAGAGCTCAAAGTGTATATTCAATGTAAGGGTTTTTTTTTAACTTAAAAATATTTATTTATTATTTTTATTTTTATGTGTATGCGTGTATTGCCTGCATGTAGGTAAGTGCACCCGTGTTGTGCAATGCCCACGGAGGTCAGAAGTGGCTGTCGGATCCCCTGGGACTAGAGTTACAGACAGTTGTTAACTGCCATGTGTGCTGGGATTCAAACCCGGGTCTTCTGCAAGAACAACCAGTGTTCTTAACCGCTGAGCCATCTCTCCAGTCCCTCAATGTAAGGTTTTACATTAAATGAAAACCACCTAAATGAGTAAACTGTTAAAGGACATATTTATAAGTACTGACACAGAAATACTATGCTGTTCAGGCTGCCTCAAACTCACAATCCTCAGGACTCAGTTTCTTGAGTAGTAAGAACTATAGATGTGCCCTACCATGCCTGGATTGACATAACTATTTAAGTACTTGTATAAGACTTTAGAATGAAGACACAAACAGAGCAGCATCTACCTTAGTAATCATTTATATATTCAATAATATAATATAGAATGCTAAAAAATACCAGGTACCCAGATAGTGTCATAAAGATAAATGCTTTGGGGCTGGGGATGTAGCTTAGGTGGAAGAGTGCTTGCTTAGCATGCATAAAACCTTGGGTTCAATCTCCAGTAACACATCAACTGTACCCTGGTAATGCATAAATCACACCTGTAATCCCAGCACTGGGAGGTGAAAACAGGAGGATGAGAAGGTCAAGATCATCGTTGACTACACAGTAGGTTTGAGGCCAGCATGAGATACATTAGACCCAGCCCCAAACCAAAAACCAAAAACCAAAAAAGGAACAAATGTTACACTGGGCATGGTGCCACATACCTATAATCCCAGCCATGGGGAGACTTGAAACAAGAGGATACGGAGTTTGAGGCCAGTCTGTGCTATATTATATAGTGAGATCCTGTCTCAAAAACAGTAAATTAAAAAAATTAAAACAAAATGCTATTTCCCAATAAAATCTACTGGCCAGTAAGTAAATATCTAGTCAATAAAAAAATATGCTACAAAAAATATTTTGAGTGGCTACGTATAGCTACATGCCTGTAATCACAGAATTTGGGAAGTGGAGGCAGGGTTCAAGGGTTCAAGGGCATCCTCAGCAAAACAGCCAATTCAAGTCAGTCTGGGCTATATAAGACCCACAAAGAAAAGGACGAGGAACTGGAGATATGGTTCAGTGGTTAAGAGTAGAGAACACAGGTTCAGTTCCCAGAACCGGCCTTCATGGGCATTGCACACATGTGGTGTACTTACATACCTGCAGGCAAGACTCACACATCTAAAAATTTAAAAAAGAAAATAGAGAAACAGAGAGAAAGAGAAAGGAAAGAGAGAGAAAGTGAAAGAGAATGAGAGAAAGAAAGCAAGAGAGAATGAAACAGAAAGAAAGGGATAGAGAGGAGGGGAAGAAAAATGTTTTGTGTGGCTTCTACTATTTCTGTGTGTACCTTCTTCCATATTCAGGGTTAATTTCTGCTGTGGAATATACCTTTGAATTAAATGCATTTCAGTATTTTACAACCATAGTGCCTATTTAACACTCAGAATAATGTCTACTGTCTGTTGGAAGAATGGCACACACCTATAATCCCAGCACTTGGGAGGACTATTGGGAGGTCAAGGCAAGCCTGGGTGACACAGTGAGGAACAGACTAGTCAGGGCTACGTAGCAAGACCTTGTCTCAAAATAAACAATAAGAAACAGTGGGAAAGGGGATCGTTCTTAGAAAAAACAAAGACACTCTCCACTGTTAACAGAAAACCATGAAAGAACTTTAAATATACTTGATTCTGGGACTGGAGAGATGGCTCAGTGGTTAAGATCAAGATTTGATTCTCAGCACCGACATGGTGGCTAACAACAGTCCATAACACCAGTTCCACGGGATCTGACGCCCTCTTCCTACCTTGGTGGGCACTGCACAACACAGTGCATTTACATACATGCAGGCAATACACTCATACACACAAAATAAAAATAATAAATTATTAAAAAAAATATATACATACATGATTCCTCAGATACAAGTGTTATGTCAACAAGTAGAAACATAATATAAACAGAAATCACAGTACATCAGTACCTACATAATAGAAATTATAAAATACTTACCATTGAAAGGGTTGATTCCTGCACTTATTCTTGAAATAATAGCTTCTTTTACTTCTTTTTTCTTTACACATCGAATACCCAAATTTTGAAAACTAAAAGCAAGAAATAAAAACTCTGAAAACTGCATTATAGTTTAACAAAAAGAATAAGACAGAAACCAGTATATACTCAACACTGAGAAGCCAGCATGTTGTCAGATGGAGGTACTAAAGCAGGAACTGTGTTTCCAATTGTGGTAATAACATGCCAGAATAGAAAGATACGGCTGTATTTCTAAGAGAATTGTCAACATAAAAATAGAGCTGGGGGTGGTGGCACATGACTTTAATCACAGCACTGGGAAAGTGGAGGCAGGAGAACAGTCTCAACTACATAGAAAATTTGGGGCTTGCCTGGGCTATGAAAGACCCTGTCTCAAAAACCCAAAGAAATAGAAAATCAAAACTCTGTACATGCTACCAAAACTTAAAAGTCAAAAATTAGAGATGAACATCTGTATCCTGGCTTCTCAAGGATATAGCACCACAACTGGTTAGAGCTGAGCCCCTTAGCCCATAGATGTACAATTCTCCACCTCACTGCAGGCCCGCCAGCTTTCTTCCACTCACTTTTGCTACCTGCTTAGGCTCCCACAGATTGGATTTTTGAGCCCTAACTTCACAGTTAACACAGAATATGCTTTATGCCATATTGCATGCTTACAATAAAAGGATTGAAATGTGGTTTTTATTAGAAAGATGTTTAATACTAACAATAGTTAATAATAGTTTCAAAGGGTCATTATGGAGAACTCAATAGCTACAAATATTACTCATTTGCATATGTGTAATACAAGTGACAGTGAGGGGAACTCCCCCACCACCACCCAGTCATACTTGTTCCCACATGGAAAACCCATGACATCATTAAAGATGGGTGGGTAAGAATAAGGAAGCAAAACTCAACAGAAGAACATCACTATCTGTTCAAGTTTCCCATAGGGCTTTCAGGGGCTGCCTGGTCTACGTTGCTCCATGCTCGTGCTGTCGTACGCTCATGCTCTGCACACTCACACTTGTGACTTCGTGAGCACCTAAAATGTCTTTGACATTTCCTTCCTCCACCTCCAATAACCAAAAAACAAATTATTATTATTATTATTTTTTTGTCTTTTTCAGACAAGGTCTCCTGTAGTCACAGCAGCTTGGATTCACTATGGAGACCAGGCTGGCCTTGAACTCACAGAGATCCATCCGCCTGCCTCTGCCTCCCGAGTGCTGGGATTAAAGGTGTACCACCATGCCCAGCACAAATTATGTTCTTAAACCTTTTCTGAAATCCTGCAACAAAAAAATGATTTCCCAAAAGTATTTCATTCTTTGAAAGATTCTTAATTTTTCTTTAATCAAAGATTTTAAAGAATGTTCATCTTAATATACTTATACATTCCTTAATTTCATTTCATCTGAATGATCTTATCTGCTATTCATAGAATATTACAAGTAATGGAGAGTTTTAATATTCTGAGGGATGGGGATATAACTTAGTGGTAGAGTGTTTATCTAGCCTACCATATATTATTATATATAGTATATTATATATGATTATTTCAAACAAACTAAGGTTATTTTTCATATCTTCTTTAAAACCTACATTATGGCTCAGTGGGTAAAGTGCTTTTGAGCAAGTCTAAGGACCTGAGTTCAATCCCCAGAACCCACATAACAGTAGAAGGAAATAACTGACTCCACAAAGTTGTTCTCTGATCTCTCACGTGCACTGTAACATATGCATACACACTTGTGTACACACACTATTAAAAATTAAGCTAGCCGGGCATGCCCACACTCTGTCGCAGCAGAGGCAGGCAGATCTCTGTGAGTTAAAGGCCAACCTGTTTAAACAGTGAGTTCCAGGCCAGCCCCACTATAGGGAGACCCTGTCTCAAAAAAGGCCAAAAAAATAATTTTTTTAAATATTTTATTTTTATTTTTTATTATTTTATGTGTATGCATGCATTGCCTGCATGTAGGTAAGTGCATCCATGTCGTGAAATACCCACGGAAGACAGAAGAGGCTGTCTGATCCTGTGGAACTGGAGTTATGGACAGTTGTTAGCTGCCATGTGGGTGCTGGGATTCAAACCCAGGTCTTCTGCAAGAACAGTGAGTGTCTTAAGTGCTGGGCCATCTCTCTAGCCTGCAATGTTATTTTTATAGCTATACAGGAGTACATCTCAAGGATGCATCAGTTTATTTAACTAGTTTCTTTTAAAATCGCTTCTAGGGTTTTGCCATTACAAAACACAGCTGTGAGAAACACCACTACAGCTAAATAAAGTTTGAACATACTTACTTCCCTAAGGTAAGTCCTAAAAGCAGTACTGTTGGCTTGAGACACATTCCCATATTTCAGGATTTTGGTATATAGTTGTTAAACTGCTTGTTAGGAAGATTTTATTAATTTATACTCTCACTAACATGATAATAGTGCCATTTTCTAAAAGCCTTACCAGTGTGAAGAGTGAAATAACTTTTTTATCCTGAAAGTTTTATTGTATGTTAATTTAATAATATGTCCCATTTCAAAATTCTAGAGTTTCCCAAATGATTTTCTATTTAGAAAATTTAAATATAAATGAAAAGATAGAATAAAGTTTTTCATAGATTATTCAAATTAAGAAAAGAAATCACAACACAATATGTTTCCTTTACTTTTTTTGGTCTTTTTGAGACAGGGTCTCCCTCTAGTGGGGCTGGCCTGGAACTTACTACGTAGACCAGGCTGGCCTGCAACTCACAGAGATCCGCCTGCCTTTGCTAAAGGCGTGTGCCACCAAGCCTGGCATATTTTCTTTACTTTCAGTATTAATAAAGAAGTATGCTTAGCCAGGTGTGGAATTTCAGGCTTGAAATCCCAGCACTTGAGAGGCTGAGGCAGGAGGATTGTTGCAAATTGGAAGCCTGCTTAGGCTATATATAGTGAAATCCAGTTTCAAAACAACTAAAAATAAAAGATAAAATGAAAGTGGTGGAATGGAGCACAGTCAGTAAACTGCTAGCCTAGTGCGCATGAAGTCTTGAGTTCAGTCCCCTACACTGCATAAACTGGATGTGGTGGCATATGCCTATAATCCCACACCTGTAATCTCTGTACCCAAGACCTCTAGGAAACCAGCCTAGGCTATAAGAGACTCTGTCTTAAAAAATAAACGAGGCCGGGCGTGGTGGCTCATGCCTTTAATCCTAGCACTCAGTGATCTCTGAGATCAAGGCCAGCATTGTGTACATGGTGAGTTCCAGGACTGTTGGGACTAGGGAGAGACCTGGTCTCAAAAACCAAAAAATTGAAATTAAAACTAAAACAACAACAAAAAAACAGGCTGGATAGATGGCTCTGTGGTCAAGAGAACATACCACTCTTCCAGAGGACACAGGACCTCATACCACTCTTCCAGAGGACACAGGACCTAAGTTCAATTCCCAGCAACCATGCTGGAGCTTCTGCGAGATCCAGTGCCTTGCGCCCCCCCTCCCCGCAACTTTTTTAAAAAAACAAAAAAACATTACAAAAGTACTATTGCTCCAGGCATGGTGGTGCTTACCTGCAATCCCAGGACTTAGGAGATGGATGCAGGAAGAGCACTTCAAAGTCACTCTACACAGTGAGCTTGAGCCAGTCTAGGCTACAGATAACTTTGTCTCAACCTCCATACCCAAAGAACTACTTATGCTAACTGTCATGTGCTATGTCTATTAGCAAAGGATGAAAGAAGAGTTCTAATGTTAGTGATAAACAATCTAAATATCAGGATAGTGAGATGGCTCAGTGGGTCAAGGCACTTTCAGATAACCAGCCAGATAATCTGAGTTCAATCCCCAAGTTCCACTGGTGGAAGGAGAGAACCAACTCTACAAGTTGTCCTCTGACCTCCACCCCCCCCAACAAAATAAATGTAATTTAAATTTTTACTGTATATTATAGTTAATTTATTTTGCTAAAAATCAAAAAAATAGCCAGGCATGGTGGCGTATGCCTTTGATACTAACACTTGGGAGGCAGAGGCAGGCAGATCTCTGTGAGTTGAAGGCTAGCCTGGTCTATATATCGAGTTCCAGTCCAGCTGGGGCTACAGGGAAACCCTGTCTCAAAAACAACAACAAAGAAACCCCATTAACCCTCTCCCCCAAAAGAACCAAAACTAACAAATGGTCAGAGCATCATACCCTCATCCTACTCTGAAGATTTCTGTGATTGTATACTTACAACAACTGTCTGCGTTCCTGTCCAAATTCTGCTTCATAGTAGCCATCTCTGCAGTCTTTTCCAACTAAATCATGAGGGTGAGGTTTATATGGGTCATTCTTTGTTACTAATGTAATTCTCACTTTTCCTTTTCCATAATAGTTCATAATCTGAAAAAGGTGAAATTAAATATACGAGTCATCTTATGAAGAACTGTTCACTAGCTAGGCAGGCTTGTAATCCCAGCACCTGGAAAGTTGAAGGAAGAGGTTTGCTGTAAGCCCAAGGCAAGACTGGGCTATACATAATACTGTCTCAAAAGGAAACAAAACAAGCAAACAAAAAAGAACTGATCCACTAAATGAAAGTTCAGTTTATATAATGTAGTTAGCACAGGATAAAGTTCAACTGTCAACAACTTAGTTGAGATTAATTTCCAGAGAATAGCAGCAGGAACAATTTACCTCTCAACTCCTGGACATATTTTCTGCCCTAATTCCCAACTGGGAATCTATCATCTATCATCTGGCTCTGCTCATTTTCCTTTTAAAGCAGGTATACTGGGCTAGGGGGTCTCAGTAGAGTACTTGCCTAGCATGCACAAGGTCTTGGGTTTGATCCCCAGCACCACATTAACCGGGTCTGGCTGCACCCTCAAGAGGTAGAGGCAAGAGTATTCAGAAGATCAAAGTCTTCCTCAGCTACATGAAGAGTTTGAGGCCAGCCTCGGCTACATGAGACCATATCTCAAAAATCCTAAATAAATAAAATATTGTACCATACTTTTTTTTTTTTTTTGGTGTTTTTCAGACAGTCTCCCTGTAGCCCCAGCTGGCCTTGGAACTCACAGAGATCTGCCTGCCTCTACCTCCCAAGTGCTGGGACTAAAGGCATGTGCCACCACGCCTGGCTGTTACCATACTTTTTATCAGAGCACAAGGAAATATTCAGATGTTAGGTTACTAGTGCTTTACTCTGAAATGCAGTCATGCTAGAAATACCCCTTGATAAAATATTCAAGCCACCCTGGAAATGGTAGCAAATATGAGCATTTTACTTAATACATATTTCACTTCACAAAAATATGTTAGTCAATAAGCATATCAAGTGTTCATTGCATAAAAAGCAATAAATCAAGTAAATTTTAACAAGATGAAATTTCACAGAGAGCACATCTAGAACACTAAAGAAGAGAATTTAGCACAAGACAGGCAGGAAGATACTCTAAGATGGGGAAGAATTAAATGTTTATTTTTGAAGTTGGTAAACTTGCTAGAATAAACAGGGTACATAAAACCTTGCATTCCATAAAAGAGCAAGCTAAGAAAGGATGGCTTACTAAGTAGAGGGCACTAAAATTCATTATTTTTTTGTTTTAATGTTTTTTTTTTTTTTCAGTCTTTTTGAGACAGGGTCTCCCTGTAGCCCCAGCTGGCCTGGATTTGCTATGGAGACCAGGCTGGCCTTGAACTCCCAGTGCGTCCCTTGAACTCCCAGTGCGTCCCGAGTGCTGGGATTAAAGGCGTGCACCCCCACACCCGGCTTTTTAATGTTTTTTTTAAAAAATATTTTATTTATTTATTTATTATTTATTTATTTTATTTTATGTGCATGACTGCATTGCCTGCATGTATGTGAGTGCATCCATGTTGTGAAATGCCACAGAGGTCAGGAGACGGCATCAGGTTCCCGTGGAACTGGAGTTAAGGACGGTTCATAACCACCATGTGGGTGCTGCAAATTGAACCTGGGCGCTCTGCAAGAGCAGTCAGTGTTCTTAACTGCTGAGCTATCTCTCCAGCCCCTAATGTTTTATTTTTAAATAATATTTTTATTCTTTGAAAGTTTCATACATTTATTTATAGAATGTATACTGATCATATCCATCCATACTACTTCCCTCCTTTAAACACAGCAGCAATCAGAAATATTAATTGCCTTTCTAGATGAAAGAGAAAGTAACTACTTAAGACTACAAAATAGGCGGATGAAGAAAGAACTTAAGCTATTAAGTGTTAGGACACATTGGAACAGGTAGATACAAATCTTACAAATAATTCTGATGTATAAAGTAAGTTGACTTAAGAAGAATTAAGTCAAGACTGGCAAGACTGCTCAGTGGGTAAAGGCACTTGCAGCCAAGTCTAATGAATTGAGTTTCATCCTCGGATCCCACATTGGTAGAGAGAGAGAACTGTCCTGGAAGTTGTCCTCTGACAGGCATGCTCTGGCATGTGTGCATGCACTCTCTCTCTCTCTCTCTCTCTCTCTCTCTCTCTCTCTCTCTCTCTCTCTCTTTCTCTCTCTCTCTCTCTCTCACACACACACACACATACACACAACACACACAAATTAAAATGTTTGAAATTTTTTATAAAGAAGATAAAAATGGGCGCTGGAGAGATGACTCAGCAGTTAGGAGCATGGGCTACTCTTGCAAAGGACCTGGGTTCAGACCCCAGTACCCACATGGCAGCTAACAACTGCTCATAATTCTAGTGTCACAGGGATCTGACACCCTCTTCTGACCTCCGTGGACTTTGTATGCATGTGGTGTACTTACACAGATGCAGACAAAACATTCATACACATAAAATAAAAAATAAATAATTTTTAAAGTGGCTGAAGAGATGGCTCAGTAGTTAAGAGCACTGGCTGCTCTTCCAGAGGACCCAGGTTTGATTCCCAACATCGACACAGCAGCTAGCAGCCATCCATAACTCCAGTTCCAGGGAATCTGATGCCCTTTTCTGGCCCTCACAGGCTCTACATGACACAGGAACACTTACATACATGCAGGCAAAACACTCATACGTGGGGCTGGAAAGATGGCTCAGCGGTTAAAAACACTGGTTGTTCTTGCAGAAGACCCGGGTTCAAATCCCAGCACCCACATGGCAGCTGACAGCTGTCCAATAACTCCAGTCCCAGGGGATCTGACAGCCTCTTCTGACCTCCACGGGCATTGCATGACACGGGTGCACTTACCTACATGCAGGCAATACATGCATACACATAAAATAAAAATAATAAATAAAATTAAAAAACAAAAACACTCATACACATAAAAAAATTGTTTTTTGTTCTTTTTGAAACAGGGTTTTCCTGAAGCCCCAGCTGGCCTGGAACTCACTATGTAGATCAGGCTGGCCTTGAACTCACAGAGATCTACCTGCCTCTGCCTCCCAAGTGCTGGGACTGCAGGCAAGTGCCACCATGCCCGGCTTTAAAATTTTTTTTAATGTTAAAAAAAAGATGAAAATGACTCAAAAGATTGGTAGAATTTGTTGTTATTGTTTTGGAGACAGGGCCTCAATATGTGGCCCTGGCTGACCTAGAACTCAGAGATCCACTTTGCTCTGCCTCCTGAGTGTCGGGATTAAAGATATGTGCCATTACTCCTGGTTTGGAAGAACAGAATTTTAAAATTAACTTTTTAATGTATTTCTTCCATTTGAACATTTAAATAAAAGAAAACTTAAGATAATCCAAAGCTCTAGTGTTGACAAAAAATGTGATTTAAAAATATGAAGCTGGGAGGTCTAGACAGACGGCTCAGTGGTTAAGAAGAGCACTGACTGCTCTTGCAGAGGACCTGGTTTTGATTCCTGACACCCATCTGGTGGCTAACTGTAACTCCAGTTCCAGGGCTTCCAATGCTCCTCTTTTGGCCTCTACAGGCATTGCACATATGTGGTACACTTATACACGTAAGCAAAACATTCATACACTTAAACAAATTTTAAAATATTTTTAAAATATGGAGCTGGTACAGTAGATAAGGACAAAAGCTCTGTGTATACTACTGTACATGTGGTGAGTACATGAAAATATACTGTATTCTTCAAAAAGCTAGAAAGACTTTGAACACTGTTCTGTAAAAAAATGATAAATGATGGGGCTGGAGAGATGGCTCAGTGGTTAAGAACACTGATTATTCTTGCAGAAGACCCAGGTTCGAATCCCAGCACCCACATGGCAGCTAACAACTGTTTGTAACTCCAGTTCCAGGGGATCCGACAGCCTCTTCTGTCCTCCACAGGCGTTGCATGACACGGGTGCACTTACCTACATGCAGGCATAATACACACATAAAATAAAAATAATATTTTTTTTTAATTTTAAAAAATGATAAATATGCTTTCCAGTGGTGATGACCTCCTATGAGAACATGTCTCTAGCAAAGGATCTCCTTCATCCCTCTCCAGAAGAGAAGAGGTAGCACAAGACGTGCCTGGTGCAGAGCCCTAGTTCCTACTTCATGGATGTGAAAGGCCCAGGATGTTATAAAATCACCGGGGTCTTCAGCCATGCACAAACGGTAGTCTTGTGTGTTGGCTGCTCCACTGTTCTCTGTCAGCCTACAGGCAGAAAAGCATGGCTTACAGAAGGATGTTTCTTCAGGAGGAAGCAGCACTAAAAGTACCCTGAATCAAGATGAGTGAGAAAGTACCCCAATAAACACATTTTGGATTAAAAAAAAAAAAGAATGATAAATGTTTGAGGAGATAAGCATGTTTAACATGACTTAAATATTACATAGGGGGCTGGAGAGATGGCTCAGCAGTTAAGAGCACTGATTGCTCTTGCAGAGGAACCAAGTTCAATTCCCAGCACCCACATGGCGGCTACAAACCGTCCTTAACTCCAGTTCCAGGGAATCCGAAGCCCCCTTCCGATCTCGATCTCCATGGCATTGCATGATACGGGTGCACTCACATACATGCAGGCAATACAGTCATACACATAAAATAAAAATAATAAAATATTTTTTAAAATTACATAGTATACATACATTAAACATTACATGATATCCCACTAATATCTATAATTTTTGCTTCTACATTAATTAAAAATAAATAAAAACGGGGGGGCTAGAGAGATGGCTCGGCAGTTAAAAGCACTGGTTGCTCTTCCAAAGGATCTGGGGTTAGCACCACCCATGTGGTGGTTAACAACCATCCTTAACTCCAGTTGAAGGGTATCTGACACCTCTCTTCTGGCCTCTGAGGAAATTCCACAACACATAAATATGTATATTTATATACATACAATGCAGGCAAAACACTCATACATATAAAATAAAAATTAAAAAATAAATGAATGAATAAAATAAAAGCAGAGATTTGGAAATCATCCTATAATGTGGCCATCATCTTATCCTGTAATTTTGAAAATCTCAGTACCCACATGGTGGCTAACAGCCATCCGTAACTCCAGTTCCAGGGGATCCGACACCCCCTCCTGAGCTCTGTGGGCATTGCATGACATGGATGCATTTATACACATGTAGGCAATACACTTATTTACACACAAAATAAAATAAAATATTTTTTTTAAAAAAAGATCTGCTATCAAAGGAGTTCAGAACCACTTCAAAATGTACTTTGAGACAGGATCTCACTTTCACCCAGGTTAGTCTCTGATCCTCCTGCTACAGCCTTCCAGGCAAGTGGGTTTCAGGGAGGTGACACTGCCCTGGCTCATTAATGACTTTCTGTTTGTTTGTTAAGACAAGGTCTTGCTAAAACAGTCCAAGAAGGCCTGGAACTTCTATGTAGCCCAAGCAGTCCTTATACTCAAGATCTGCCTGCCTTTGCCTTTGCTAAGATTAAAGGTATGTTCTACCATACCAATTCACTAGTACTCTTTTTAACTGATATTTAAATGATAAAAATTGGCCAAGCATGATTGCATATGCCTGTAATCCCAATACTCAGGAGGTAGAGGCAGGAGGGAAACACTGTAAATTTGGGGCTGTACATAGTGAGTTCTAAATCAGCCAGGGCTACACAGCAGGACCTGGTTTCAAAACACATAACATAAATAAATAAATAAATCATAGAAATTAAAAGGTAAGTGAAATGTATCTTATAAATACAAATATGGTACATTGACCAAATTAATTTTCAATCAAGAGCTATTTTCAAGCCAGGCATGGTGGCACGTGTCTTTAATTATAGCACTGGGGAGGCAGAGGCCAGCTGGGGCTACAAAAAAGAAACAAACAAAAACCAAAAAAACCACTTTCACAGGCTAGAGATATAGTTCAGTGGTAGAGCACTTGCCTAGCATTCATAAGGTTCTAGGTTGACTTTCCAGTACTGTCAGATAAAGAGAGACAGACAGAGACTGAGACACAGAGGAAGAGGAGGAGGAGAAGAAATACTTTCACAATTTACATTAAAGTTTTAAAAAAAGCTATATTTAAGAATTGATAGGGGGCTGAGATATAGTGTTTTACTAGCGTGTGCTAAGTAGACTCTAGGTTTGAGTTCTAGATATGCAAATACAAAAGAAAGGGGTGGTATTTGGTCAGGCATGGTAGATTATGAGTTCAAGGTCAGTTTGGGCTGCGTAGTGAGACCCTGTCTCAAAAAAATTTGATTTTTAAAGTTTTATTTATTTAGTTTTGATGTGTTTTGTTTTTGCAACAGGGTCTCTATATGCACCTCTGGCTGGCCTTGAACTCACTATGTAGACTAGGCTGGCCTCAAATTTGGAATGATCCACCTGCCTCTCTGCCTCCTAAAAATACTGGGATTACAGTTGTATGCCACCACACCTGGGGGAAAAAGTGGTATTTTTGGCTTGGAAGATGGTTCAGTGAGTTAAAAGTTTAAGCCATATAAGCATGAGGTCCTGAGTGCGAATCACCAGAAACTACATGGGCCAGCAATGGGAGCATCTGTAATCCCAATGTTCCCATAGGGAGATGGGAGGAAGAATCAAGAGAATCCAGAAACCAGTGGGCAGCCTTGCTTGGCATATGCAGTGGAAAACAAAGGCACCCTGTGTCAGACAAGATAGAAGGTGAAGACCAACACCTAAGATTGTCCTCTGACCCACATGCATGCTAAGACATGTGTGCCCGAATCACACACACGAATACACAGGTGCACACCACTACACACACACACACACACACACACACACACACACACACACACACACGCACGCGCGCTCACACCTTATACACACAAAAGGAAAAAAAAATGTGGGGCTGGAGAGATGGCTCAGTGGTTAAGAGCACTGGCTGCTCTTGCAGAGGACCCGGGTTCGATTCTCAGCACCCACATGGCGGCTATGAACCGTCCTTAACTCCAGTTCCAGGGGAATCCAAAGCCCTCTTCTGACCTCCGCAGCACTGCATGACATGGGTGCACTCACATATATGCAGGCAATACACTCATACACATAAAATAAAAATAAAATATTTTTAAAAAGGAAAAAGATGTATTTTTAAGTGATGCAATCACCCAGAGTATCTGAGATAGGCAATAAAGGTAAGGAAAAAAGGAGGAAAAAGTTCTATCTATCAATAGCCCCTAAACTAAAAACTACAAGAAAAATTGAGTTTCCAAATCCATGTTTAATACATACAACAATTCCACTCACTGCCGTCTGTAAAGAATACTTCATCCTTATTAAATGCTTGGTGTTTATGAAAAGGATGCGATCCAAAGCTGTCAGTGTACGCTTAAGCACTGTGAATCACTGTAGTTACTTTAATACACAAACTATCAATAGCAGGAAAGATTCACATTTTATTGTTGTTGTTTTGAGCCTGGCTCTCCCTGTAGCCCCAAATGGCCTGTAACTTGCTATGTACACCAGGATGGCCTTCATCTTACAGAGATCTGCCTGCCTCTGCCTCCTGAGTGCTGGGATTAAAGCCACACACCATCATACCCAGCTTCAGATTATTTTTAAGAGATGTCCCTATACATCTAGCTAATACAGAGATAAAAGGGGGGGATGGGGAGATACTGTGGAGATAACTGTAGGGAAAATGAGCCTTTAATGTAACTGGCATAGTGAAATATGAACCACTAAAAGTGAGACAGACACAGAGGGGCCTATTACCTGGATAGATGGGTATGTTCGGTTATTGTCTGTGCTGTGCTCCCCTGGAATGCTGCCTGCTGATCGCCCTTCACATTTGTATCTAAAGCGCATTCCCCTTTGTCTTGGTTGTTCAGTTATTTCTATGTATGGATTATATCCACCTGAAAATTTAAAATGGGAGAGGGCAATGAGATTAGAATAGCAATATAATAGATCTTAACGATTTTAGTTTTATAAAACAATACACATTTCTTTCTTCCCAACACTAAATAACAAAATTAAAATGCAATTATCAAAGATTAGATGAGGGAGACACCTTTCCCCCATTCAAACTGAGTTTCTATGTAGTAGTAACACACCATTGATTAGTGCTTTATCACTTACTATCTATAGCTAATGACTATGAAGCTCTGAGATAACCACTTCAGATTTATCATTCCATGAGACCAAGCAGAAAGGTTTTCCCCAACATTCCCCAGAAGAGTGAAGAAAACAGTATTCAGAAGTACATTATACTCCGAAACTGAAGAAAATGTACTTAATTGCTTGATTTTAAATTAGACTCTCAGTGCATAAAAAGACCACTCATTGGAAATTGAAATGCATTTAAATGCTGGAAGAAACATGCAAGTCTGGAGTATCAAAGGACTTATGTTTACACAGTATACCGAAACAAACCTCAGAAAGTGACTTTAGGTTTCATTGAAACCTCCTCCAAAATAAAAATACAATGTGAAGAAAATAATTTACTTTCCATAACAAATATAATTCAAAATATGTACCCTCAGGGTAAGAGCTGGGTGTGGTGGTGCACACCTTTAATCCCAGCACCTGGGAGGCAGAGGCAGGCGGATCTTTGTGAGGCCAGCCTGGTCTACATAGTGAGTTCCAGGACAGCTGGGGCTACAGGGAGACCCTGTCTCAAAGAGAGAAAAAAAAAATACTATATATATAAAACTATCAAAATAAATCTGCCAAGTGAAAGCTGATCCAAAACATGCAAATACTATATTGATTCATTTATATGAAATTCTAGACTACATAAACTAATCTATAATGAAAGCAACATAATTACTATTATAAAACACGCTGATGAGAAAATATGGGAGATGGTAGACATGTTTATTTTAATTGTGGTGATTAAGTCTGTCTGCCATCCCTCCCCCATCTCTGTGAGTTTGAGGTCAGCCTGGTCTACATAGCAAATTTTAGGCCAGCCTAGGCCACACAGTTGGCCGAAAAAATAGTTTTATATATGCCAAAATTTAACAAATTACATACTTCAAATGTACAATACATTAATTATATATCAATAAAGCTGTGTTTTAAATATGCACCTTTACTCTTTTATTATCTAAGTCGTGGAAAGAAAAATTCAATAAAGACAATTGTACTTACAAGTTAGGATAGTTAATTATGCACGATTTTATTTTAGGAGTGTTGAAAATATCTTCTATTAAAATGAAAAAGCCAAGTACACATGGTTGAGGAGGTCACAGATTGTTGAGAAGAACCTACTTTTGTCACTTTCCTAGACCAGTGTAATTCCTTCCTGTATTCTAAATAAGCATCCTTATGTTTACAGACAAAAGTGCCACTCAACACTCATCAAAGAAGCTTCTTTTTGAAACAGATGGAGACTATTACAAAGTTCTACAACTGGTCAAACAGAGAATAAGTGCCTGTAAGGTGCCCTGCCCCAAGTGATACATGTACAATGCAACTTCTATACCTAAAGCTCAGGGAACACTGCAGAAGAGGGAGTGGAAAGAACTAAGAGCCAGAGGGACAAGACACCTCTGCTAGGTAATGCATTCTAGACACGATGGGGAAGCTGCACCCATGGACTCTTCCACAGTATGGCAGTCCAGTAAGAGCTGCATGATGACAAAACCATTTGACATGCCAAGGTGGATGGGGGACATTTCACAGTCACCTCAGATGAAGAGCTACAGGCAATCCATGGATACTGAGGGAGAGAGAATCAGTTTTCTCCAGGGACTAGCTCTGGGAGGTTATTTAATCCTAAGTGGGCAGCTCTAAACACAGGTACACAAAAGCACCACTAAATGGACTCGGTGCTGTGTGTGTGTGTGTGTGTGTATGCAGCAATAATCAAAGAAAAGGACAAGAATTGAGAGGGAGTTGGGGAGAGAAAATGGGAGGAGATGGAGGGGAACTGGGAGAGATGGAAATAATGCAAATACAATACTCAAGTATGAAATTCTCAAAAAATGAAATAAAAAAAATGAAATCTCCATCAACCCATTTAGTGATTCTAAATTCCCCAAATCACAAATCCATTTTACTAAGGCTCATCCTGATAGAATACTGTCTTCTTCAGAAATGGCAAAACAATGATCTTTTTAAATGTAGCATGGAAGAGGTCTATTACCACCCAGCCTCTTCCTTTTTCTTTTCTTTCCAGAATTCACCAATAGACCCGCCTGACCATGAACTTACAGTGATCCTTCTGCTTCTGCCTCCTGAGTGCTTGTCATAAAACAAAACAAAACAAATAAAGTTAGAGTCCAGCAAGACCCTGGAAATGTTATTAATAACATAAGCTAAGGTATTATTAATATCCCCCGTAAAGTGGGGATGATAAAAATAGCAATATCTTATCAGATTTTTGTGAGGCTTAGATATTACATGTGTCAAGTCTTATCACGTGCCATATATACAAAAGGTGTTCAATAAATGTCATCTATTAATACTTCAGATGCTTTCTTGATGACACTATGATAACTGTGACACAATCACTATCACAACTGCTGCCCTAACAGTATGGCGCTGCCCTAACAGTATGGCAAACACCACAGATAGTGTACCAAATGGAAAGTACTAATAAAATTCTGCAGAAAATTAGAACAAAAGAGGAATCAAACTATGAAAAAGGGGGAGAACAATGAAACAAGAGTAAGGAGAAAAAAAGAGGAAAGAAAAGTCATTCTAGAAAAAGGGAAGTAAGTGTCCACAGAAGGTTTAATTAATCACCAATAGAAGTGGTACAATCCCACTCAGAAAGAGAACAAAAGTCAAAGCACATTTGGTGATATGGATTTCAACTTATTTGTGAAAAGTTATCAGTGTTCTTATGCAGGAGCTCATAAGACCAGATTAGCATTCTAGAATAAGAATTTTGATGGCAGTGAATAGACTGAAACAAAGAAATTGATCAGTTTAAAGATTACTGTAATTCAGTAGTTCCCCATCATCTGTAGATGTTTGAAATTTCACATAGTACTGATCTCTCTCCCACATATATCCAGCCATCCAACCATCATCTAGATAGTATTGATTGCTTTCTCTCATATATTCATCCATCCATCCATCCATGCATCCATGCATCCATCCATCCATCCATCCATCCATATATGTGTGTGTGTGTGTGTATGCTGTTTCTCCTATAACTATGTACCTATGATAAGACATTAGGAGTAACAATAAAATAAGACAATTATAACTAACATAACAAAGTTTCTTAAAGCTTATTTCTGGAATTTTCCTTTTAATTGTTTTATGTACTATAGTTGATCACAATGAACTGAACTAAAGTGAAACCATGGGTAAGTGGCAACTACTGTCATATGAGCAATGATGCAGGTATATCTGAAATAGGGCATTGATGCTAAGAATGAAGGATTATTTAAAAAACAAAACTGATAGTATTTTGGTAGCTAAATAGCAAAGAGAAGTTAAAGCAGCACTGGTGGCAGAGGAGACGGCTCAGCCAGTAAAGTTATTTGTTGTGCAACCTGAGTTCAATCCCCAGCACCCAAGCAAAAAGCTGAGCATGGTGGCATGTATTGGTAATCCCAGCAATGGAGAGGAGGAGACAGAAGGGTCCTTGGGCTTCACTGGCCAGTCAATCAGTCTGGCCTAACCACTGAGTCCTAGGTCCCAGTGAGACTCTGCCTCTAAAAGCAAAGTGGAGAGTTCCTAGAGAATGACAGCCAAGGTTAATCTCTAGTGGACACATAAACAGACACTCTGATGTGTAAGCACACACACACACACACACACACACACACACACGTATTAGTAGCTCCATGGTTTCTACTTTGGGCTACTGAAATTATTGGTATCTGATTTTACTGGTTTTGATTTAGACTTCTTGTGTTTGAATATATTACTGATTTGCTTATTCAAAATACAGAAAGCATGCCTGAAACCCTGGGCTGTCCCCAGTACTGCCAAAAAAGAAAAAAAGACAAAGAGCCAAAGTGGGAAAACTTGACTTTATCCAATTCAGTTCATAATAATTACTGGAAAAAATGTAAGGCAGATAAATATTTTGAAATTTACATATATTTGCATATAGGTAAAATTTAATTTCAACTTAAAAATATTTCAAAGCCTTATATATTCTTGTAGGAGTATTTAAAAGAATATACATGTTCCTTTCAATAGTTTTAAAATTAAAACTATTTTTTCAGTGACATGTTAAAGAATTTATGTGGTTGAACTAAAGGTCAAATAAATTCCTGCCCACTACTTTTTATAAAATGTGTTTTGGTGGGAAATTGATCTAGAACGACATTATTAATGGTCTTTTGGAAGAGAAACATAAATAAAAATGCTAGGGCCATTCAAAGTGAGCACATATCTCATTGGTTACATGACATTTCTTTAAACCAGAGAATGTATTTAAATACAAAGAAACGAAAAGTAATTGTTGAAAAGAAATATTTGTAAAGGTTTTCAAAGTAATGAGAATAACATAAATACTGTCATTTAACATTATGTATTTATACTTATTTTTCCTCTTGTAGAAACTCTTCATTGGTATCAATCCTCACTAAAAACTAAGCCTTAGAACTTAGTCTACAGGGGCTGGAGAGATGGCTCAGCAGGTAACACTGACTGTTCTTGCAGAAGACCCAGGTTTGAATCCCAGCACCCACATGGCAGCTAACAACTGTCCATAATTCCAGTTCCAGGGGATCCGACAGCCTCTTCTATCCTCCATGGGCATTGCACCGCATGGGTGCACTTACCTACATGCAGGCAATACACGCACACACACATAAAATAAAAATAACAAATAAAATATTTTTTAAGAATTTAATAGTCTATATTCCGCTGGCTGAAAATAATCCTTGCCTCCTGTAAATAATCATAGCATTTTGTTTATAGCAATTATTCCGAGTGACATTAG